TGTATGGTTTTGAGGTATGGAACTTGAGTTGGGTTTTGGTTTTAAAGGTTGAGAAAGTGGTTGTTCTGCTACTCTTTTGGGTTTTAGATCAATTGGTTATTTTTTCTCGAAATCTGTGAATCTATTTTTTAGTTGTACCAAAAGAAGGTTGTTCTGGTTGGTCTGAGATAGGAGTGAAGTATTGTGTTAGTTATGAAGATGTTGGGATAGATTTTGGGAGAGGTTTGTACTGAAAATGTGTGAAAAAAGGTTCTGGAAGTGAGGTTAGAAGATTGTATGGTTGAAATGGATGAGGAGTATAGGCTTAGTAAGGATTATCATGCATACCAGTATGATATGCTGTGAAGATGTTATAACTAGAGGCTGCTTGTTGTTGTTGTTGTTGTTTCTGACGAAATTGATTTTAAAGGTCTACAAGTTGAATCTTTAGGCCTTTCATTTCTTTCTCTCGTTCAGTGAAAGCATAAGTGAATCCAGTGTTGGTTTCAGCCATATATCTAAGTTCTTGATCAAGTGTGATTATCCTTGACTGAATTTCAAGAATAATATTTTGGAGATTGACAAGGCTCTGATCAAAATGTTGACTGATTTGGTCCAACTTATGTTCAATTCTATGCAGGTATGAATTCTGCTGAAGAGAATTTTCAGTCTGTCATTTTAAAACTGCTTCAGCACGAAAAATACTTTTTTGGTTTCCATATTCATCTCTGTCAGTGGGAGTGGGGATTTTTGGAATGTGTTTGTATTGGTCTTTATGAAATTCTTAAAAATGAGGGAAATCTGAGCTTGGGTAGGTTGGTTGCATCATGGAGATTTGTGGTAAAGGTTTGGGTAAAGGTTGGGTGAAATTTTAGGTAGAATCTGGTTTTTGTGTGGATTGGTTTGAGTAGGTTTAAGTGTGTGATTTTTCTTTCTTAGGATAGATGACATAATAGTCAAACTTTGCTGAGGGTTCACCAAGGAAATCAACTTCAGGGTCTCCATTTTTATATCTTTCTTTGAGCTTTTGCTAGGAAGACTTTTTCTTCTTTTGCTTCTTTGGAATATCATCATCATCATCCAGAAAGCTTTTATCTGTGTCTATCTGGCATTCTTTGCATTGATAATTTATGTCCCAATAACAATGTCTTTCTGGAGATCTATATGCATACACAGGATTTCCATCGAACTGAAAGTGTGTGACTGGAACATTAAAGAGATCAGCATGATGTCTTTGTATCATAAATTATGTTGGAAAGATTGTTAGAGGAGGAACATCCTTTCCTTTACTGTGATCAAATTCAATTGTGACAGTACCATTCTGATTTGTCTTGCAGGTTGGATCAAAATGTTTAATTGGTGTATCTTGTTTTCAAATCTTTTGATAACTTGTCATCCACGTCTTTGGGAGAAAAGTGGCAAGTTTTTCATTGGAAATCTGCTTTGGAATATGAACATGTTTAGGAGTTCTGTCTGCTGTTTCCATTTTAACAAAAACTGCATCACTAGAGTGTGAAAGAGGCAAGTTAATGGCATGATCTTAAATTCTATATGCCATCTGGTAGTGAAGGGTTGCCTGAAGGCCTTTCATTTCTGTGCCTACGTTTTGGACTTGAACTTTTAAAGCATCTAATAGGGTTGGATTATAAAGAGACATATTATAATTTATGAAGACTGTGAAGAAGATAGTTCATGCATTGAGTGTCGTCTCAACGATTCTAAGGACTGCATGCTTGTAATCTTTAAATTCGGTGTCCAATAAGGCCATTTTGGTACAAACAAGAATTCCATTTCTACCATAGAAGGTTAAGGCGATTTTGATAGCACCAAAGTGAATGTGAGTGTATCCTTGTTCTGACCACTGGTGAGAAAATTTTTCTGGGATCTGAAGAGTAACAAAGTGCTCTTGAGGTCCTGTTAGAAGAATACATTGATCAAAGTTTATGGCTTGAATATATTCTTTTGGAGCTGGATATTTGAGTTTTAAAAGAGTTTTTAAAGACCTAGTAAAAGAAGGGGAGGAGTTTGAGAAAGCTGTATAAGGATTTACAAGGGATAGAACTGTTGGTTGGGTTTTCTTTTTTTCTGGAATGTAATCTACTTCATATAAGAACTTAAACTTAGAAGAAGAAGATTTTTTAAGTACAGGAGATGAAAGAGAGGATAAACTAAAAGAAGATCTGAAGAAAAAAGGTTAAGCACTAGAGTTGCTAAGAGTAGATAGATCCATGAAAATAAGACTCTCTTTTGGCTTTTCTTTTTCCAATTTCAATAATCAAAACTTTAAAAACATGATTTTCTTCTCACTATCTTGGTAAGCCGTAAGCTTTGATACCATTTCTATACACAATGGTAGGTAGTACGACCAAGGTTCTGGTAACTGACACAGCTTCAGTTTCAGGCTCTCCGGGTGGTAGAATCCTAACAATACTATCTGGTACTATGACAATAACGTGTAGATTGGTCCAACTTGATAAGATAGTACCAACCATAAGCTTTCCATAGATCAGATATATAATCAAGGTATTCTAGTCGGTGTTCAAGACTCTGGCACCTTCTTGGCTTTAACGTCGAACTGGGAGCCTGACATTATGGAGATATGTCTTTCACTATAGTAACTTACTATTAGTATGATCTTGGGGCAGTATAACTTTTCTTTGGCTGAGAGAAAGGGATCAACGATCTATTTAACAATTTTACAAGATTTTTTGATGTAGAGGATCCATAATAATATGGTAACTACAGAGCATACTTAACTTTAATTACTATAAACTTTGGAATAGCTTGAAGAGAAACATGAAGCTAAAAGATTTAACTATGGAAAAAGGAAGATGGAATTACCAAAAGAGAAGAGAGGTTTTTAGCCAAATATATTTTATGAAGAAAGGTTTCTTACAAGGGATGTTTTTTGATAAGTTGTGGATGATGCCTTCTTGAAGAAGTAACATCCTATTTATACAAGGAAAAAGTAAAAGAATAGTAACCTAATAGGACAAGACTAGGACAAAATAACTTTATAAGTAGCTTAAGGTAAAGCTAAAGGACAATGACTCATAAGTATGGTACAATGACTTATTACTATGGTATGGTGACTCATCATTTATGGTACAGTGACTCATCACTATGACTCATACTAAAGCACAATGACTCATTATGACTTGACTAAGACATAAAGTTGATGAAGACTTGACATAAGGTTATCTTGATGTGGAGGCATCATAATCAACTCTTTGGAGTCTTCTGGAAAAAACTAAAATTATCACGCATAATTATACAATATTGGACTAGAACAGGGAATCTTCTATCTTGTAGCATCATGAGTGTCATCATTTTGGGAAATCTTTTGAGAAATCTTTAAGGTACTAGAGAATGAGACAATCATCTACCCATCTGTATAGTTCTTGTTCAAAATTATCAGGATCAGAATCACAATATTGGAATAAGTGATTGTAAACTTTGTGTTCAAATCTTGCTCAAAGTCTGGAGAGATCTTTATCATTCTGTCAGTAAGGGTTTGTTAAAAGTTTTGCTAATTCTGAAGGAAAGTGAAGATCAAAATTAACAAGTCGTTGTGATAAATCACTCTACCAAGTGTCATAAGAGGGTTCAAGAATCCAATGTGCTAGGTGAATGTGTAATTTTTGGATGTATTCTGGAGGGTACCACCACCATGGTTCTTTCTTGAAAGGAAAAAGTTCTGCAGGTATTGGGAGGTTGTTGATTTTACAGAGTCTTTTTAACAGGAACTTGCACTCATGAGTATAGAGAAAGATAGATTTATACAAAGAGTATGGATTACACATATACAGGTCTGAGTGGGGTTGAAAGAAGACATAATTTTAAGAGAGTTTACAAGATCGATGGAAGAAGAAGATAACATGGTAGTGTTGGGGAAAGTGTTTCGTGATAGAATACCAAGTATGGAGGGGTTTAAACCACTTTAAAAAGTTTCCTAAATGAATATCAGCTTCATAAAGGAAGTCATTATTAGCAAAAGTGATTGTGACAAAGTTGAGTTCAAAAGAGTTAAACTCAATGGCAACGGTGTAGAGTTGGCATAAATACCATAAAAGAACTAAGGCTTCTTTGAATAAACCTGAGGTATGAGAGATCTAGAATAAGTGTAGAAAAAGGAACTGAAGATGAAAACCAATAGGTCTGAGACCATGATCACCTTATTTTTTGATGAGTATAGCTTGCATTTTATAGATGAGATCATGAACACGTCTTTCAAGTGTCTTTTTGGCAATAATCTGCTGGATTTCAGAAGGTAGATTGTGAACTAGAAAAACTGATTGAAAATCTGGATCTGAAACAAAGGGTTTATATTTCAGATTGTAAAGGTAAGGGTAGAGAAAATGATTAGTTATCGTTTGAGGAACAGGATCAAAAGAGGGTAAAGGTAAAGGTAAGGAGGTCATCATACAAAAGACTAGAATAACTTGCAAGGGGTTTGAAAGAGGTTTTGAAGGAGGTCTTGTGAGCATGTCTGGAATGAGGTTATCTATTTTTTATATGTACGGTGGTGAAGGAGTACTGTGAGAATCACTGTGATAGCATGAGTAACTGTGCATTTGGTATTTTTTTCTTTTTGAAATTGAGCATCTGAATAAAAGTTGACATATCCAATTCCACGAGAAAGTAAAATCCAATGAGGTGAAATTCAAATCTTTGGATTCCATACTTTATAGCTAAAATCTCTTTTAGTGTAGAGTGATAATGGAGTTCTGAATCTTTAAATTTTTTACTCTTGTAACCACAGATTTGTCTGGTTCCATCTTTTTCTTCTAAAAGAATTGCTGATCGAAACTGTTCATTAGCATCGGTCTGTAATATTTTTTTCCATCAGAAGGAATCTTTAAAGTGGGAAGTGACTTTGCTTTTATCTTCAAGGCTTGTACTGTATTTGTTTGGATTTAAGACCACGTGGGTGGTTTTTTTTTGAGCATCTGTCTGAGTGGATGTGTAAGCTAGGCAATATATGGGAAAAATTCACTCATGTAATTGACTATGTCGAGAAATTACTGGATTTGCTTCTTTGAAAGATTTTCATCAGAGAAATCTGCAAGTGACTGAGCAATATGAGGTTGAGCAATGTACTGACCATCTTTAAGATGCATGCCTAGAAAATCAATTTCTGTAGCACGAATGATCATCTTTTTCTTTGAAAGCATTATCTCATACTTTTGAATAATGCTCTGGAACTTATTCAATAACTGTGCATGAGAGGTGTCATCAAGAGAGAACAGTAAGATGTCATCAATGTAAATCAAGGTATTATCAAGAATTGGAGCAAATATCTTGGTCATGGCTTTTTGGAACAGTGAAAGAACAACTTTTAATCCAAAAAGAATTATTGTCCACTGAAAATGGTGTTGAGGAATGTAAAATGCCATTTTGTATCTATCATGTGGATGTATACCTAGTTACCAAAATCTTGCTTTGAGATCAAACTTTAATAAGACTTTTGCATTTGCCAAATTTGTAAACAAAGTTTTTCTGTCTGGAAAAAAGAACTTATCATCTGCAAGGAAAATGTTATGAGGCTTGTAATTGATTATCAATCTTAATTTTTCACGAACTTGTTTTGAACATTTGTTGACATAAAACGTTTCACATGCCCATGGAGAGGAGGTTAGTTCAATTAATCCTTGAGCCGGAGAAGGGAGCATTCTTGGATTGCTTGCTTGAAATGATCTGGGTTCATGCCTGAATGACTAGCTTTTATAAGATTGGCATTTTCATCTCTTTTAAAGGGAAGGGAAATGAAAAATTTAGGGTTTTTCCAAAGTGGGTGATCACATTTCTAGAGAAAATCTGAATGATTTTTTGCACACGAAAAGTGAATGAACTTGTGTCTAAATTCTTGAAAAACATCTAGTTGAATGGTGAGGGTAAAGAGATTGGAAAGGTTTTTCCAAGGTCAAAAATAACTTTCAAACTTGATACCTTTTCCACTAAGCTTTAAACTTGGTATACTAGTAATGATATCAAAACCAATAACAAGGTCTTTCTGGAGAAGTGGAAATCCTAAAATCTTTTGAGTTATTTGACATCTTGGAAAGATTTGAAGGGTAATAGGGTTGCTAACAAAGTCTGTAGAAAATACATTTACATCAGCGGTTTTGAAGATGGTTTCCTGTTTGGTCCAAAAGTGTTTGGGTAAGACAAGGAGGTTTGCTATTGTTTGGGCTGCACTAGTATTAAAGAAAGCTGTGACTGTGATAAGAGGGGAATGTTTGTGAGGGAAGATCTGAACTGAGGCTAAAGGTAATTTTGAAGGTTGAAGGGTTTGAATTTTTTAGAGTTTTTAAACTGATATATACTCATAACATTGATCATCTGTGAAATTATCTGAGTATTCTGAATAGTCTGAATCTGCATACTCATCATTATCAAACTGCTTAATCATAAACAGGGATCTTTCATTCTACTCATCGTCAAGGAAGAAAATTGATTCAAAATCATCATCTGAGAGATTGATACCTAAGATATTAGCAATATCTTGGATCATCTTGACTAACTTTTTATCTGACTTTGGGCAGTTCTTTGAAAAATATCTTAATTTTTTACAGAGAAAACATTTTGAGCTTTTAATCTTTGGATCTTTTTTCTTTTTTGCAAATTTGAATCTTTGAAATCTTTTAGGTTTATCAGCATATTTGAAAAACTTCTTATGTCTGGGTCTGGAGATTATTGGAGGTCTAGAAGGTCTGAATCTTCTGAAATACTTCTTTTTCTTGTTGCTGTAAAAACATGTGGGATCTTTGGAAGAACATTTGATTTGAAATCCTGAAAAGGAGTAAGAACATGGCTTTTCTAGCTTTTTGGAGTTATGCACCAAGGTTTTGATGTATTTGTGCTCTTTGTAAATCTTATCAAGTGCTTTCAACATCATCTTGTAGATATCTCCAAGGGTCATAGATTTAACATCAAGGGATCTGAGGTTCAACTGGGTTCTTGTTTGCTGGGTAAGTTTTTCTGGAACAGAATTGAAAAATGTTTGCTTTAAGTTGACATCATCGAATCCGTCAAGTATGTAGAAATATTGAGAGAATTGTTGATAGTGTCTGTTAAGGTCTTTTGGATAAAGAAAACAGCATTTTAGTCTGAAGAATTGCTCTCTCATTTTTTCCAATCTGTGAGTTTCTTATCCATAAAAGATTGCAGCAAATTGAGAGACAGCTTCTGTGATTGTTGGGCATTGAAGAAACTGAAGTTGTCTGTATTCACCAATGTTATCCCAAAAATTTTTCAGAGTTCCAACTAATCTGGAAACAAATATGATCAAAATTATGTTCATCGTAACATTGAGATGAAAGTTTAATTCAACGAGTCCCCATGCTACGAATTCTTGAAATTTTGAGGGCCATTTTGAAGAAGGAACATCATCAATGGTAAAAACTGAGAACTTTGATGTTGAAAGAGGAGCACGGGATTGTTATGGAGGAGGATGTTGTTCAGCATCCATTGTATCAAGGTTATGGACTTCTGGAGTATCATTTGAAACTTCAACTGTTGGTTCTATCACGAAAATCTGAGGGAGCATCATTTCATCTGAGTCATCAATATCATTTGTTTCAACTTATTCATCTAATTTGACAGTGTTCATGTGAGATTCAGTCTTAAAGGTAGAAGAAAAAATATCTTCAATGGAGAACTGAAGAAGGTTGTCTTGTGCCATTTGGTGAAGTATTTCTTGAAGGGTTTGTGTAGGAGAAATCATAAGTTGTACAGGTTTTTAGGCTGGTTGTGGTGTAGGGTTTTGAGGTATAGAACTTGAGCTGGGTTTTGGTTTTGAAGGTTGAAAAAGTGGTTATTCTGCTACTCTTTTAGGTTTTGGATCAACTGGTTGTTTTTCTCAAAATCTGTGAATCCATTTTTCAGTTGTACCGAAAGGGGGTTGTTCTGGTTAGTCTGAGATAGGAGTAAAGTATTGTGTTGGTTGTGAAGATGTTGGGATAGATCTTGAGGGAGGTTTGTACTGAAAATATGTGAAAAAAGGTTTTAGAGGTGAGGTTAGAGGATTGTATGGTTGAAATGGATGAGGAGTATAGGTTTGGTAAGAAGTATCATGCATACCAGTGTGATATGCTGTAAAGATGTTGTAACTAGAGGCTGCTTGATATTGTTGTTGTTTCTGACGAAACTGATTTTGAAGGTCTGCAAGTTGAACTTTAGGCTCTTCATTTCTTTCTCTCGTTCAGTGAAAGCATAACTAAATCTAGTGTTGGTTTCAGCCATATATCTGAGTTCTTGATCAAGTGTGATTATCCTTGACTGAATATCAAGAACAATATTTTGGAGATTGACAAGGCTCTGATCAAAATGCTGACTGACTTGGTCCAACTTATGTTCAATTCTGTGCAAGTATGAATTTTACTGGAGAGAATTTTTAGTCTGCCAGTTTAAAACTGCTTCAGCACGAGAAACACTTTTTCGATTCCTAATTCATCTCTATCAGTGAAAGTGGGGATTTTTGAAATGTGTTTGTATTGGTCTTTATGAAATTCATGAAAAAGTGGGAAATCTGAGCTTGGGTAGGGTGGTTGCATCATTGAAATTTGTGGTAAAGGTTTAGGTAAAGGTTGGGTGGAATTTTGGGTGAAATCTTATTTTTGTGTGGGTTGATTTGAGTAGGTTTGAGAGTGTGGTTTTTCTTTCTTAGGATAGATGACATAATAGTCAAACTTTCCTGGGGGTCCACCAAGGAGATCAACTTCAGCGTCTCCATTTTCATATTTTTCTTTGAGCTTTTGCTGGGAAGACTTTTTCTTCTTTTGCTTCTTTAAAATATCATCATCATTATCCATGAAGCTTTTATCTGCGTCTATCCGGCATTCTTTGCATTGATAATTTATGTCCCACTAACAATGTCCTTCTGGAGATCTATATGCATACACGGGATTTTCATCGGACTGAAAGTGTGTGACTGGAACATCAAGGAGATCAGCATGACGTCTTTGCATCATAAATTGTGTTGGAAAGATTGTTGGAAGAGGAACATCCTTTCCTTTACTGTGATCAAATTCAATTGTGACAGTACTATCCTGATTTATCTTGTAGGTTGGATCAAAATGTTCAATTAGTTCATCTTGTTTCCAAATCTTTTGATAACTTGTCGTCCACGTCTTTGGGAGAAGGGTGGCAAGTTCTTCATTGGAAATCTACTTTGGAATATGAACATGTTTAGGAGTTCTGTCTGTTGTTTACCATTTTAACAAAAACTGCATCACTGGAGTGTAAAAGAGGCAAGTTAATGGCATGATCTTAAACTCTATATGCCATATGGTAGTGAAGGGTTGCCTGAAGGCCTTTCATTTCTGTGCCTACGATCTAAACTTGAACTTTTAAAACATCTAACAGGGTTGGATCATGAAAAGACATTATAATTTGAGAAGACTGTGAAGAAGATAGTTCTTGCATTGAGTGTCGTCTCAACGATTCCAAGGACTGCATGCTTGTAATCTTTAAATCTGGTGTCCAATAAGGCCATTCTGGTACAAACAAGAATTCCATTTCTACCATAAAAGGTTAAGGCAATTTTGATAGCACCAAAATGAATGTGAGTGTATCCTTGTTTTGACCACTGGTGAGAAAATTCTTCTGGGATCTGAAGAGTAACCAAGTGCTCTTGAGGTCCTACTGGAAGAATACATTGATGAAAATTTGTGGCTTGAACATACTCTTTTGGAGCTAGATATTTGGGTTTTAAAAGAGTTTTTAAAGATCTAGTAAGAGAATGAAAGGAGTTTGAGAAAGCTGTATAAGGATTTACAAGGGGTAGAACTATTAGTTGGGTTTTTTTTTCTTCTGGAATGTAATCTAATTCATATAAGAACTTAAACTTAGAAGAAGAAGATTTTTTAAATACAGGAGATGGAGGAGAGGACAAACTAAAAGAAGATCTAGAGGAAGAAGGTTGAGAACTAGAGTTGCTAAGAGTAGATAGATCCATGAAAATAAGATTCTCTTTTGGTTTTTCCTTTTCCAACTTTAATAGATCCATGAAAATCTATCCACTCAAGTCCAGATCGTAGGCACAGAAATGAAAGGCCTCTAGGCAACCCTTCACTACCAGATGGCATATAGAGTTCAAGATCATGCCATTAACTTGCCTCTTCCACACTCCAGTGATGCAGTTTTTGTTAAAATGGAAACAGCAGACAGAACTCTTAAACATGTTCATATTCCAAAGCAGATTTCCAATGAAAAACTTGCCACCCTTCTCCCAAAGACGTGGACGACAAGTTATCAAAAGATTTGGAAACAAGATGAACCAATTGAACATTTTGATCCAACCTACAAGACAAATCAGGATGGTACTGTCACAATTGAATTTGATCATAGTAAAGGAAAGGATGTTCCTCCTCCAACAATCTTTCCAACATAATTTATGATGCAAAGACATCATGCTGATCTCCTTGATATTCCAGTCACACACTTTCAGTCCGATGGAAATCCCGTGTATACATATAGATCTCCAAAAAGACATTGTTATTGGGACATAAATTGTCAATGCAAAGAATGCCAGATAGACACATATAAAAGCTTCATGGATGATGATGATGATGATGATATTCTAAATAAGCAAAAGAAGAAAAAATCTTCCCAGCAAAAGTTCAAAGAAAAATATGAAAATGGAGACCCTAAAGTTGATCTCCTTGGTGAACCCTAAGGAAAGTTTGACTATTATGTCATCTATCCTAAGAAAGACAAACCACACACTCAACCCTACTCAAATCAACCCACACAATAACTAGATTCCACCCAAAATTCTACCCAACCTTTACCCAAACCTTTACCACAAATCTTCATAATGCAACCAACCCACCCAAGCTCAGATTTCTCTTCTTTTCAAGAATTTCATAAAGACCAATACAAACACATTCCAAAAATCCCCACTCTCACTGACAAAGATGAATATGGGAACCAAAAAAATGTTTCTTGTGCTGAAGCAGTTTTAAACTGGCAAACTGAAAATTCTCTCTAATAGAATTCATACCTACACAGAATTGAACATAAGTTGGACCAAATCAGTCAACATTTTGATCAGAGCCTTGTCAATCTCCAAAATATTATTCTTAAAATTCAGTCAAAAATAATCACACTTGATCAAGAATTCAAATATATGGCTGAAATCAACACTGGATTCACTTATGCTTTCACTGAACGAGAGAAAGAAATAAAGAGCCTAAAGATTCAACTTGTAGACCTTCAAAATCAATTTCATCAGAAACAACAACAACAACAAGTAGCCTCTAGTTACAACATCTTCACACCATATCACACTAGTATGCATTATAATCCTTACCAAGCCTATACTCCTCTTCTATTTCAACCATACAATCCTTCAACCTCACCTCCAAAACCTTTTTTCACACCTTTTCAGTACAAACCTCTCCCAACATC